ACTGTAAAAAAGCAACCGGCGAAAAAAACAAAGTCGCCACCGAATGTTATTTTTCTCGACGAGGGAAAGGAAACAATTGAAGAAAACCTCAAAAGGGAAAGGAACATGGTCTCGCAACCAAATCCTGGATTTGGGAGTCGATTATGTGAGAGGAAGGTATTAGCACCCCCTCGCGTCCATTGTACTCAACGAGATCCACGCTTGTAGTTTTAATCAAATGGTGTGTTTATCTAAAGCCTATTTGCTAAGGGAAGCGAAAAGGGAAAGAAAAAAAAGGAGAAACAAAAAGGAGGCTCAATAGGACTTCGCCATCCTAGGCCTATGTATTTCCTCATGTAATGGGAAAGTCAGAGTCAACGTAGTTCGAAGGACTATGGGTGAAGAAGGGGAAAAGTTGCTCGCCAAGACTTCATCGTCTTGTCCCTACGTATCCTCATTTGGACGAGAATGAAGAAGTCAAAGCATTTGTAGTTCGGCCTACGAATTATTAAGTGTCTTTTATGAGCGATGCTAAGTTCGTGTTCCAGCTGTTAGGATCAATGTCTGTTTGCGGTAGAACAGAAATAACACACCCTTTCTGAAAAGTTTGACAAACAATCCCGAGGGATAAAATGGTTTACATTTGTATAAGAGTTTTAGATAAGTGAATTGAACTTGTTTAAGATTCGTATTGCACTAAAGTCCATGACATTGGATCGAATGCGTCGCAAGATCGCCCCCAAATAGGATGTATGCTAAACACTCTAGAAGAAGTAAGGAGAGACTCTTCACTCATCATTTCCCATATAATTAAGGCTCGTGGCGCACAATACTCGTCGAATTTGTTAAGTGTTTTGATTTGATTCAAGAGAGAGACGAGAGCTAGACACACAGAAGGTCTAAGGGAAAACCTCGGTCCTAACGTTGTCATGCAAAATGGTCCTAAAGTTGGATTGCGAAAGGAAATTATATTCTAATGTTAGCATGCAAAGATGAACCTAAAGTTGAGGTTAAGAAGGGAGTTAACCTAATGTTATCATGCAAAGGAATGAGAGCCTAATGTTTATCCAACTTCCAAGCTTAATGAAAAATTAAGTCAGAATAGGAGACCTTAAGGGAACATGCAAGAATAAACCAAAACAAAGAAAGTAAACCAAAAAACAGCAGCTACAATAGCGCCTCTGTGTCATACCCTAATTTTTGACCCTAAGATTCTGTTTTTCGTTTCGCATCGTCTACATAACATATCAAGCATTTCATCATGCATAATATCCAATTAACCAGTTGGAATAAACTTGTTGGAGTTACAGCTGAATTGATCAAATAAAAATCTACTGTGTGTAAAATCAGTGGACGAAAAATTTCAAGATCGAGCCTACAAACGTCAGTGATATTAATCTATGTTTCGCGTAGTTTAACCTGGCGTGCTCATTTAAATTTTTCGACCATCTTTTGGACGTTTTTTTTGGTCAGTTTAAGCCTTTTTAGCGGGTAAAATTTATTTCAAAATCTGACCAAACGTTGTATTTTTCCGAGTCGTTTATTTCGCGCTGATTATTTTGGTGTGTTCATTTTATTTTTTCGAGCACTTTTCTTCCCGACTTTTTATTTCGCTTTTAAATCATTTTTATTTAAATAATCATTTAATTTATTTAGATTTAATTAGATATTTAATGTAAATTTTTATTTTTATTAATTAATTTTAATTTTAATTTGTTTATTAATATTTTCTTTTTAAGAAATACAAAAACACAATTTTTAATTCTTTTTATTCTTGTCTTCTAATAAAAAACACAAAACATGATTGTTAATTCTTTTTATTCTTGTCTTATTATAAAAAATACAAAAACATAAATTTTAATTCTTTTTATTTTTGTCTAATCATAAAAAACACAAAAACATATTTTTTAATTCTTTTTATTCTTGTCTTATCATAAAAAACACAAAAACATGATCTTTAATTCCTTTTATTCTTATCTTATTATAAAATAAAACATTGTGTTAATTATTATTAATATTCTTGTCTATTTTCTAGTCCTATATATATGCATTAGAAAAAACAAAGGATACACAAAAAAAGAGAAAAAACAACAAGAAAAAGACAGAAAAAAGTTCAGAAATACACACACATACAAGAGATAGAAAAAACAGAGTAATAAGGAAAAAGACTAACACTAAGAAGTTGGAGTTCGATATTTGTGACGCGCATAAACTGTTTTCGACTGAACCGTTGCACCACACTCTTTTCTAGTTGCGGCCTCACCTTTCACCGCTGGCTGTCGTTCCGATCACCTCCGCTTAGTAACGTAACATCTTTCGATTTAGGTATCGCCCCTTGCATCTTGTTTTTATTTATTGTGTTATGTCTAAATCTGAATCTGTGTGGCTTGCGAGTTGTGATTGTGAGAATTTAGTTTTTAAAAAATTGATTTTTTTGTGAGGAGACGAGAGAGAGAGAGAGAGAGAGAGAGAGAGAGAGAGAGAGAGAGAGAGAGTAATACTGCTACATTGCTTACTTTTTGTTTTGCTTGGCTACATTTTATTTTTATGTTTATTTTAAAAAAAAATCCCTATTGTCATGTGTTGTCATTCTAAGGGCTAGAAGTTTATTTGAAAAATCAAAGTGAGGGAGAAGAATTTGGATCTGATATGTTCCTTCTCATCTTATGGTTTAATTGTTTTTATTTTATTTATTTATTTATGATGTGGGTTATTATTATTAATTTTTTTAAAAATTTGAAAATGTCAAGATAATATAGTAACTTCTTTTTGGCTAATATCAAAGGACTAGGATACTTTTTTTCGTTAAAAATGGTGCTGCTATCTCATGCAGACCTTCATATATTTTTAAAAAATAATTATATTCTTTTTTTTCATTCACAATGATATATTATTATTATAATTATGATTATTATTATTATTATTGGATATGATTTAGTGATGTATGTTATGATTATGAGTTAGACTTTAGGTCTTTTTACTATTAACACTTTCTAATTACAGTTTACTTATTAATTTTATTTAATTCACACCCCATTCTTTTTAATTATTGTTATTATTTTATTTAGATAAATTAATTCATAACACCTAGATTAGTTAGTCAAATTACTTTAAATTATGATAATTAGAGTCAATTAACACTTTTATAATAAATATTATTAAGACTAAAATTTTAAATTAATTAAGATGGTTAACCTATTTAAGGGTAGGCCCATAATTCAACTTCATCTCTAATAAATTGAATCTGATTAGGTCTTATGATAAATCCTTTGCATGACAATAATAAGATAGCTTTCCCCTTCAATCTTGTTTTAGATTCATATAATTAGGTTAGTTCCGTTCGGATTTTAATTAGACAACCTATAATTAGGTTCCCTTTTCTCCCATGAGAGAATTATACATGAGTCATCCTTAGCCTAGATATAATTCTCCTACCCCGTGACATAGTTGAGAAAGACGTAGATTCTTTTCCACTTGAGAGAGGTATGTGGCATACTCGTCGATTTTATATCCGAGTTAGAGCCCTTCTCTTAATGTGAAGCAAAGATCCATCTTCCACATGTTTGTGGTGGTTTAAGTTGAGTATTCTCCTTAAGATGACAACTTGTCTCTTCTCCTAAAAACCAACTTTTTCCTTTTACTTTGTTTACCCCTTGAGGGGGACTACGAATGCTTTGATTTCATTCTCATCAGGATACGTAGGCACGAGATGCGATATCTTGGCGAGCATACTTAGGAATAATACCTTAGGTCTCCTTTTACTTTTTCACCCTTTAGCAAACAGATTAACAATTAACACAATAAAATAAGAGGTTCCTGTAGAGTACTATAGATACTTAGGATGCTAGCACCTTCCCTAGGTATAACCAACCCCCGAACCTTAGATTCTCTAGATTTGCATTGCATTGCATACTCATGGGTTATTTCGATCTTTTTTCCTTCCCTTGGACAAATTAAAGACCGATGGTGATTAATGATTTTTTATTCAAGTTAATTAATAGCTTGATATCCAATTCTCACCGCGACAGAAATAACGACTTCACTGGGGATAAAATATTTCTTGTGGGTTCCCTAACTTGTTTATTTGTGCTTATTATTGTGTATTTATGTTTATCTTATATATTTGTTTATGCTTGGGTTGTTATCTTTGTGTGGTGAGATAAGTTCTACACCCAGACTTGAGTGCACTTATGATAGGAAGGTGATATATTTAAGAAGGCTTATAGGGAGTTGATACCTGACCAAGCTGACTTGAGAATCACCGCTCAGTTGAGGCCCTCTTGAGAATGGTATTGTTGAACAAGTATTCGTGAAAACACTTACTATTTTTTACCTTGGAGCCTGTGATACTGGGAACCTTTAGTTACCCTTAACTCAACTTGGCCTTTCTTAGAACATAGTACGATGACTATGAGGGAGAATTCCCAAAATAGTTGATACGCGATACTACAGTCGAAAGAGGTTCTCTTGAGAATATTAATAATTATCGAGTATTTGGGAAATTGATAATATCCGAAGGACATACTGATGACTTTGGGAACTTTTAGAACCTTTGTTCTGCAGGTACGATAAACCCTTAGTCCATCCAATTTGGGATGGGTAGACCATTACTCCAGGCACGTTGATTTTCAAACCTAAGTCTTTGCATGTTTGAATGTATATGTGTATATGTGGATATGTGTGTACCTATGTTTGAGCATAAATGCACTCATAAACATCAAGTTCATAAAATTTTCATGGAATTCAAAGTTTTTGTTTACAAACATCATAGGTTTTACTATTGGATTTTGAAATTATACTATATCTTCAATAAAATGAGATTTTCAGTTATCAAAAGTATTGTCCACTTTGTGGTGTTTGAAACGTAACCTTTGAGTTCCTTGAAATTCATCTGCATCGGTGCATTTGCATTCGTCATTAGCATTGCATTCTTTGCATCCCAGATTCTCACTCTTGCTTCTTCCTTCAGAGGACACGAGCTAATTCATTAGTACGATACTCGGGCCAATCAAAGAAAGAAGATGAAGAACATTGAGCAAGAAAACCATGAAGTTCGTAAGAAAGTGACTGCTTTGAGGGCTGGTATGGAAAAGCTCCCTGCTTTGGTTGAAACCCTGGTTGCTACTCAAAATCAACCTTCTCATCATATTTCTCAGACTCCGCTTCAAAGAACCGCGATTTTTGAAATCATGTCAATGCCCATTCCTGTGAATCCCATTAGTGCTTCTAAGAACTCTAACAAGCTTGAGGAAGGTTTACCTAAGGAGAAGGAACAAGCTGCTAATGCTATTTCGCGAGAGAAACATGGAGGACCTCGTAAAAAAATTAGACAACACATGGAGAAGTTTGACACGATCCCAATGGCCTATTCTGAATTATATCCTACTTTAATACAGAAGAATCTGGTGCAAACTAGGACTCCACCAACCATCTCAAAGAATCTCCCATGGTGGTTTAGGTATGATCGTTTTTGTCCATTTCATCAAGGGGCACCTGGTCATGATATTGAACATTGTTTTGCTTTGAAAGCTGAAGTACAAAAGTTAGTGCAAAGCAGTATTTTATCTTTTGAAGATTCTGGACCCAATGTCTCAATAAGTTTGTTACCCAAGTATGGAAATGCTGAAGAAGGATGTCTCGGAGAATACTATATCTCTACGTGAATTCAATAAGAGGACCTCTAGTAGATATGCACGTTGATTTGTGTAGACTTACCCATTATGAGCACAATCATGTTTCTTGTAAAATTTGTTCAAAAAATCGTTGTGGATGTTCTATCGTGAAGAGGGATCTCTAGGATATGTTGTGTAACACCCCAAATTTAATTGGAATATTTTATTTAATTGTTTAAATATGAACATTCATTTTTTGGTGATTTTCGGTAGTTTGTGGTTTATTGGGAAAGTGTGCATTTTTGGGTTATTTATTTGATTAATAGTATATAATATTAATTTATTAGTATTATTATTATTATAAATGAATATAAGTGAAATAAGGGTAGTTTGGGCATTTGGAGGAGTTAGTAAGGGTAATAAGGGAAAAGCCCAAATTGTAAGGCCCAAGATTAGGTTTGACAAAATAGAATTCTGAAGGGAATTAGGAATCATTTGTTAACTGTGAAAAGTATTATGGCCAGAGAGCTCTGAGGAGAAGATTGGAGGCAGAAGATTCCCGGAGATAATCGTGAAGGCTTTGAATCGACTAAGGTATGAGGAGTATATCTTTTCATTATTTTCCATGTGTGCCTTTCAATGTAATTATGGATGGTTTTAGGTTTAAGGGATTTTAGGTCGATTGTGGGAAAAGGGGAAATTGATGGTGAGGACCCTGATGGTTGTGGTTAGTGGTGAGTATTCCTGACTGTTAAAGCAAGGATATGAGAAATATTGACCTTAGGCCTTAGTGGCCAAAACCCTTATATGTCTGACCCTGTAGGGATAGAATATTGGATAGTGAGTAACTCTAAAGCCTTAGGGTGTAATTGAAGGAAAAATTGTGATTTAGGAGATGAATATGTTACAGGATTGGCCTAATAAATCATAGGTTTTGTGCCTTTATCGTCGTAGGACCTTAGGGATGATTTAGGGATGTTTTGGGGGCATTGGGTAAGTGAATCGTATGGGCATTTGAGTGGATTTAAGTTCTGGTGCGTAGCAGATTTTGCTGTCATCGCACTGTTCGCCTAGCGAACCATGTTGTTCCCAGACTCGCCTAGCGAAGAAACTCACCCCAGACTCGCCTAACGAACATGCCAGTGAACGTAGTAGAGTTTCACGTATGTTGATCGTGTGCAGCGATGCCTTGATGTTTGATTCTGTGATTTCTGTGATGAGTTACCTTGGGGGTAACTATGATTTTTATGTGATTAACATGTGATCTGTATATGATTACATGATGGTTTATATGATGTATTATGATGATATTACCATGACTTTGATGAATTATATGATGACATTAGACATGATAATGATTGTGATGATGATGACTATGATGAATGATGATGCACCTATGATGTTATTATGAGGATGATTATTGACATGTGCATCATGCATTCATGTGCATCCGGACTTTGGTTAAGGACCTCGATTACTTTGGCTTCAATCCTATTGTGTGGATGTGGAGTGTTTTGAAGTGCTCTGGTTCTCTAGTAGAATCGATCCTATTGATGGGGATCTATGGAGGATTGATGGCCTAGTGTCCATCGAGCTGTGATGATTGGTACCACATGCATTGAGTTGTGTCGCATCTGCATTTATGAGTCTTTTTGTATAAATTATGATGTTGTGGCCTTCGAGGCCTATTGATGAATATGAAGGTTGAATATGATTATGATGCCATTTATATGTTGATTTTCATACATTGATTTTTGTGAATTGTTTTACTCACCCTGCCTGTTTGAATGTTACCTCCACGTGGGTAACATGTTGATGACCGAGTTTGTCGTGGACGCCGTCGAAGAGTTATTTTTGAAGTTTTGAGTCGTTAGCCCTTTTGGTTAACTTAGAGGGTCTTGCTCTGATATGTAATATCAGGTTGGGTTCTTTGAGTTAAACTATATATTATTAAATTATTTTGCTTATGTTCCCTGATGAGGAAAACCTTTACTTATGCCTTTTGAATTCCGTTATTTTATGTTGTTTGAAGTATTTTGGGAAAAACCCGTTGTTCACGGAGCCGTGACCTATTTTAATGACATTGGGAAATGTACGCCCTTTTGGTGGCTTTTTGTGAAATTTAATAATTACTCTGATATCTGTGTTATTTTGCCTTATTATTTTTAGGGTAGAAAAGGGTGTTACATTAGTGGTATTAGAGTAGGTCGGTCCGTCCGGCCAAGTTTTTATGTTGTTAGTCCCTTGTCAGTCCATAGTGTGAGAACACTATTGGATCAGTTGTTTTCTTCTAACCCTGTTGGTGGTTGCAGATGGCTGGAAGGAATGATCGTGCTATTGCTGATGCGCTGGAATCACTTGCCCAAGTGATGGCTCATAATGTTGGACCTCCATATGAGTTTCGTGCTTTGAGAAAGTTCCAGAGGAACAATCCGCTGAATTTTATGGGCACTCATGATCTTGATGGTGCGCAGAAGTGGCTGAAAGTGATTGAAAAGATTTCCCAAGTTATGGCGTCCACTGATGCGCAGCAGGTACAGTTTGGTACACATATGCTAGCAGAGGAAGCTGAAGACTGGTGGGATAACACTCGTCAGAGATTGGGAGATGCTGGCATTGCAATAACTTGGCCTATGTTCAAGGAATAATTTTTGAGGAAGTATTTTCCTGAAGATGTTCAGGGAAAGAAAGAGGTGGAATTTCTGGAGCTGAAACAATGGAATATGATTGTGGCTGAGTGTTGCACCCCAAAATTTGCCAAACCTTTTTCTTTGGCTGGCTTGTGTTTCATTTTAATTATTTTCTTTCTAGCATTCGCATTGCATAGCATGTTGCATTGAACAGGGGATCAAGAGTTTGTGCACCTCAAGAGGAGTCTTCTCAGAGGTTTGAGCCTAAGCAGGGGTTGTTACTCAAGCTTGAGTGGTCATCAGGACATCTTGAAGTGGTCAATGTATTGTGAAAGGACAGATGGATGTGTGTGGGATAACTCCTAACTTGGAGGCCAACTGAAGAGCATCAGAGGTTTGTGAATGCATGATTATGGGTATGAGATGTAAAGAAAGATCATTGAGGGCCTTGAGGGTCATTGTGGAGTTTATTCAAGTTGTTGTGTGAAGTGGAACAAGCCACAGTTGAAAGTATTACAGTTAGGGTTTTCATCTGGTAAATCCTTAGTCAACTGTGCAATTGAAGAAAATAGAAACTCAATTCAAAGTCTCTATGGTCATGGGATGTTGTGTTAATACATATGAGACATCATTTCAAGTTCAATTCATCAAGGGTTAAGTGTGTGAGAAGTTACTAAATTAGGGTTCTCAGGGTAATATCCCCTATTTAGTGCCTGACTTCAAAACCACCTAACTCAAGATACAAATCTCATCTAAATTTTTGGCTAACATGGAACTTGTATAGCATTTTCTTAGCTTTAATTTGAGTACTAGAAGTCCTCGATTGGATTTATAGAACTCAAGTTATGATCCAGACAAGTTACAGGTCATTAGAGGTATGTGATTTTGGTCAACAAAAGTCATCCAACGTCCAAGCCAGTTTTGACCTAGAAGGATGTTTCTCCTCAACTTTTGGCCAACATGAAAGTTGTAGGTCTTGATCTTAGCTTTCCAAATTGTACTAGAAGTCTTTCATATGATTTGTAGAACTCAAGTTATGAGGTTTACAAGTCAGAGGTATTTTGGGAAAGTAAGATTACAGGTCATAAAATTATAGGTCCATTTCACCAACTTGCACACTTCAAATGGAAATATTTTCAACATGAAACTTACTTCAAATGGGGCCATTTGCACTACCAAATCATCTCTTGTCATGGTGGGGGCTTGGATTGAGAATTTGGGGTTTGAATTTTTCATAAAGGAAGCTTAAATTGAGAAATTGAGAGTTAATGGATTTTAAACTTTTTCAAGGCAAGTTTGTGCATTTTTTGATTGCAAATAATAATTCAAAGACATTTCCATCTTCACATTGGAAATTTGAAGTCTCAAAATGGGCCATTTTCATGGTTTCTTACTCTTGAAGTAACAAAATGGAAATCAACCATAGGATCAAAATTAAGCCTCCAATCTCATTCCTTTGATTAATACAATTGATTTGTAGTGGATTTGGATTGAAAAACCAGCTGGTGTAGTGGTAAAAACGTGCATGGCATTTTGAAAAAGTGGTGAAATGTGAAATTTTGGAATGGGCTGTTTAGCTTGAATTAAAGCCCCATTTGATCATAAACCCATCATATAAGTATTCTAGATGAAAATTGGAGCATAAGTAGGTCATTTTCGTGCACGAACAGCCATAACACATTTTGAAAAAGTGGTGAAAAACTCAAAAACGAATTCTCAGATTCAACCACTTTCAGACCAAATCAAGCCTTCAAACACCTTAATTGGAGTTCATGGAGTGATTCTGGGCGTTTTTCGTTAAGCTTCATCACAGTTTCAAGGCCCAGTGGAGACTCTCCACTAGGTAAACTTTTTTTCAACCTTACACTCTTAATATGCCATGGTTTTTCACCATTTTCGTTGCATTTGAATCCTTGAGTTGTATGGATCATTTCTGCTTGAGTTTATGATTGATTTTATGAGCTCCAAGTTGTGTTGTTTCGTTTTGAAGAATTTTGGTGTTGTTTTGCTGTAATTTTTATGGATTCTTACTCCTTGCAACATGTAGATGAGGTCTAGACCATTTAATTTGAGTTTTAGTGAAATTTTATTTTTGCATGTTTTGCTTGTTGTTTGATTTCTGGAGTTGTTGTTGAGAATTAATGGAAATAAAGGCTAGATACTTGTTCCTCTCGGCGAGGAGATGAATTTTCATCTAAGGAAGTTGGAAAACGGTTGAGAAATGATGGAGTTACAGTGGGGGAGGCGGTCCGCGGCGGCCGGAGAAGAGGAAGAAGACGACCGGAGTTTGTCCGGCACCGGCGAAGTCCAAAGGAAGAAAAAGGCTGACGTGGCAGCGTTCCGTCCGTCCGATCGTGTGTTTTGTAATCGCGCGCGTTGAAACATGACCTACGGTGGTCCGTCGCAGCATGTGCACACCAT